TGAGCCCTCTTTCCGAGTAGTTCTGGAGGGTGCAAGAGCAAGGTTTTCACATTTGTTCAAGAATAAGTCATTGGAGGGCGCCTGGGTGGCTCAGATGGTTAAGCGTCTGCCTTCGGCTCGGGTCATGATCCCGGGGTCCTGGGATCGAGTCCCGCATCGGGCTCCCTGCTCCTTGGGAGCCTGCTTCTCCCTCTGCCTCTCTCCCTCTCTCTGTCTCTCATGAATAAATAAATAAAATATTAAAAAAAAAAAAAAGAATAAGTCATTGGAAAGAGCCATTAGATACATTTTCATTGACTTGACTTTCAAGAGAGCCCCTCTAAGTCAGCAAATGCGATACCGGTAGCAGTGGAAAGGGTGAGCAGAAGGGAGGGTTGCTAGGTGAGAAACAGAAAAGCAGTGGCAGCCATTTTACTTCCGTGTTCTCCCGCGCATCAGGCTGTGATGAGAGGCACACTCCTAATGGGAAGAGGAGGAGCCAATACCTAGCTCCAGAGCTCTGGCCCCTAGACACATTCTTCTTTATTGCAATGTATTCAAACTGGTTTTATCTCTCCATGCTTAAGATTCAGTTTCTTCTCAAAGCTTTCCCAAGTGTAGCTTGTGGCCCACTGTGACAAGAGGGTCCCCCGTGATCTAAAAATGCATGTCCACTATTGAGTGGCATTCCACAGACCCAGGTTGTCTTACTCGTAACCTCTCAGGAGTGTCACTTAAAGTTTCTAAATTTAGCCTGTTAATAGAGTTTGATAAGAATTCGAATGTGGTACTCTACTAGGAAATCTGTCTGCCCCACAGTCCTTGGCAGTGCTGGCTAGTTCTCTGCATATGTGCTCAGAGTTTCAGGGAAGGATGTTCTCTGGGCATCCTGAAGTGTCTCAAGCTGGTTGTGGTTTTCAATTACTGCTATGTTTGTATTAATTGGAAGTTTGTGGAATTACTGTTATGTTTAAATTGGGTGGAAATTTTGTTCTTACATAATGGTTGCATTGTTGCCACTTTAATTACTGCTTAGCTTCTTCTGAGTTCTTTGTTAATTGCCAAGGTGTTTTTTTTTTTCTCCTCTAGAAAGTGGGACTGAGTGGGGAAATTGCATGCCCTTGTGGCTGAGCACAGCTAGTCTAGAGCACTCTGCCACTTGTTAGTTTTGCAAGCTTTGGAAAGTTATTTGAGCTGCATAGTGCCGTGAAGTAGAGGCAGTCTACTGCCCTATAGGCTTCGGGATGAAATAAAATAATTCATCTCAGCGCTTAGTATGGTGCGTGGCACATGATTGGTGAAAAAGTGGTTGAACAAGTGGTTGGTGGTAGGTGGTTGCTTTTGTTTTTGACTGCTGTTTTTAAAAAAAAATTGAGAACCCATTGCTCTGTAAGTTGACTTTGGATGGTTCTTTCTCTTCCTTGCCCTTAGTCCCTTAATCAGTTTCAGTTGGTTAAATTAAAATGCTAATGAGCCCAGTGTTACTGGATCCCTCAAACTACATTCCCATCCTTAGCCTTTTATCCCAGAGGGGATAAGTGTGAAGAGAATTAACGAGGAGGATGAAAATGATGGTGGTGAAATTTTATCTTTATGGAACTCTAAGTGGGACATGGAATTGGTATTCTCTGCTTTGTGTTAAATGTTTTATATCTATTATCTTATTTAATTTTCACAATACCCTTAAGAGGTAGGGAATGTTAATATCCTCATTTTACAGGTGGCATGATTAAGGTTTAGAGATGATAAGTGACAGAAGAAAGCGTATTAACTGAATTAGTCTTCATAGGAGCCGTAATTCAGGGACTGTTTAGTGACTCGTGTCCCCTTGAATTAATCCAGGAGAGTTGTGTTCTATCCTTTCAAGACAAAGGCTCTTGAGAAGCTTACTTGAAAGCTTGTAAACCTGAGATAATTCGGCTAATCAGTCATAAGATAGAAGCCATGGCCAAAGACACCTTTTATTTCAGGAAGTTGGCCTCACCTCTGTGCTTCAGTATTACACTAGTGGGCCACCATGAGATCTGTAGAAGAAGATTTCCCCTGAAACTAATATAACAATGTATGTTAGTTATATTTGAATAATAATAATAATAATAAAGATTTCCCCAGAACAGACTGACCATTTTTCAAGGGTGAATTGCATGCCCTTGGCTTCTGCCAGTATGGGAGGAGGTATTTATGAACCTATAGACTACTGGTTTTGCTTGGTAGTAATGCGCATTTGCTACTGCTTGGAAAAGTTAGAGTATTGTAACCTCCCTGTGGAGGCAAGATAGAATAGGAAGCTTCTCACTGGCTCTCTGTCCTTGGACAAACTGTGTAACCTCTCTGGGCCTCAGGTTTCACATCTGCAAAATGGGAACAGTGCTAGTACTTATGCCATAAGGTGGTTAAAAGGATTCAGTGATGTGTGCGGTACTTGGTAGGTTAAACAAAGCCATTCCCACTTAGTGCTGTTACCATGCTGCCATCTGGCCTGTGTGGTGGTGAGGCTGCTCCCCCACCCTGGGCGTTCCTTATTGGGCCATGTAGTCACACAGTTCTGGCGGGCATGGTTTGTTAGCTTTATTTCAAAACTCATTCTCTTTGGCTCATTTACCAAACTAGCAGAGATGAATGGCCTGGCCTCAAAGGATTGGGCAACACATGCTTCTGGCACCTTTGGCTCATTGATCATGCCTCTCCGATTTGGGGAATGCTTGGGTGTTGCGGGCAAGTGCTTCCTGAAACCCAGGAAACCTTGAAGGAAAGTACTTTGGTGCAAATTCTCCTAATAAAGGAGAGTTAAAAGTCTTGCATTTCGTTCTTCTTTCTGGATTTTGTCATTTATAAACAGGAGCAAGTTTCTCTCAGAATGTTTAAATTTAATAGAATGAATTGGTCAGGGATGCTGAAAAAAAAAATTCTTGACAAAGTAGGGTCTCTTCCCTTGCACTTGGCTTACCCAGTTTCCAAGGTTAGTGAACACCATTCATGGGTTGCTGGTCCTAGCTATTATGAGGCTACCTGTTTCACTCACAGGTCACAACATCCTGCAGGATTGTGTTGCTGCCCCTCTGCCCCATCTTCATCTTCCTCCCTTCTCTACTATGCACTGATTGCCGGTTGCACTGGTCTTCCTCCTTCCAAAAGGCTGTGCCAGGATCACAGTCTTTTGACCCCTCATCTCTAGAACTTTTAAGCATAAAAACTGATGCCTTTGCCTCAAGTACAGAAACGCTTTTCTTTAATCCTCATCCTCCTGACTTTCAAATAGTGGTTCTTTAGGAAATCAATAATAATAAAATGGAGTAGTGATTTGTCTTACTTAGAGTTTGATCATTCAAAACCCTCTTGGCCAACTCCTTCAATTTACAGATGAGGCAGTAGAGGCCCAGACAAGGTGAGAGCCTTACCCAATGACACAAGGCAACTGAAGGGCTAGGTTGGAAAGCTCTTGACCAGCCATTCCAACCCACACTTGCTAGCAGGTAGAAATGCCTTTTAGGGTTTTATGACTCCTTTTTAGAGATGCTTGGCTCACTGCCTCTAGGGGTTAAATAAGTGGTTCTCGGCCAAGAGTAGCCATCAGAATCACTTGGAATAGATAGGTAGGTAGGTAGGTAGGTAGATAAATCGATAGATACATACATACATATGTACGTATGTTCATACATACATACTTATGATGGCCAGCTTTACCCTATGCATTTTCATATATAAAGAATAATAATCACCAAAGAGAGATTTAGAAAACTATGATTTTTTTCCCTTTATAACAGGGGGTTTATCTTACTTACTAATGTCACCATATTAGGGATTGGCAAACTGCCCTATAGACCAAATCCAGCACACCACCTGGTTTTTGTCTAACTCAGCATTTATAGATGAACATTTGCAATTGATTTGATAGGAAATACTGACTTGGAACCCTAATTAAGCCAAATGTTATCCTTCTTATGTAAAACCAACAAACAAATAAAACCCCATTCTTTTGATTGGTGGATCTGCATTTCAAAAAATTATACTCCTTGGAAGAGAGATTCCACAGGATTCTGGTGGCCATTCTTGGTTAGAACCACTTACTTAACTTCTAGAGGAACTGAGCCAAGCATCTCTGAAAAGAGACCCTTGGAACTCTAAAAGGGATTTTTATTGTGAGGAATATTATACCTGTATTTCAAAAAATTACTATGTTTTAAATTTTGTCAACCAAAAATTTGTGGAAATTCATTTTCTCTCTTGTTAAACAAGTATCTGCATAATACTGATTTTGTTTCTTGGCCCACAAAGCCTAAAATATTTACTGTCTGGCTCTTCACAAAAGAAGCTTGCCGACTCTTGCAGTATGTCATTGTGTGTTTTATATTGGGGTATTTTCTCTTTTTCTCTATTGGAGCACTTCCCCTTTTATGATTTCTGTGAATAATTTAAGGGATTTACATTGTAAAAGTAACGAATTTTCCTTACAACTTTCAAATTTCAAAACCATATAATGTATTGGTTCCACTCCCCAATGTTAATACTTAGCAGTTTATAATGTATCTTTGTCCTGACTTTGCCATTTACTAGCTGTGAGACCTTAGTTAACCTCTCTAAGTCTCAAATTCTCCATCTGTAATACAATGATGGGTTCCTACTCAATAGAATTTTGTGTAGATAATTTGAGATCATTCATGTGGATTGCTCAGCATGTTGCTTGGTGCACAGTAAATGCTTAATGATTGTAACTATTTAAAACTTTTCTTCTTTTTAATTTAAATATACACATAAGTTTTGTTTTGTTTTGTTTTTTTAAAGAATATGACCTTTTTTTATAGTAAAGTTCCATAGGTGATTCTGATGTATTCATACTTGAGAATACCTGAAGTAAATACTGGGAAGTAGATAATTTTAGAGAGGATTCATGTTTGGGGGTCAGAAATTGCCTTCCATTTTATAGCATAAATTAGGGAAAGGGGGCAGGTAATGATCTTATTCATTGAACCTGTAGGGTGGTAGAAAAGTCACACAAGTAAATGTTTATTTCTATTTTCCAGGTCTACAATTCGAACAAAGACAGTCAGAGTGAAGGAAGTAAGTATAAGTATGTCCCTTGGATAATTTTCTACAGCTGGGGTTGGGATTGAGCTTTAAAAGTTGCTACTCTGGGGAAGAACCACCAGGGGCTGCTGTGGGCATGTTGGGTCTGCCCCATTTCCCTGGTGTAGTCCATTGCTTTCATCCTGACTTACCATGTCCGTGACTGCAGGACATTTTAGTGAGCCTGACAGGCAAGGCTGTAATGACACCTTGCGATATATAACCCTTCACACTTGACAAAGCATTTTCATGTATATTATCTCAGTTAACCCTAGGTCTTGAGAATGTAGCTCCACTAACCACTTAAAAGCCACTCAGTCGAGTACTATGCAGCTTCCCAAGAACCTTGTCCTAGGAGAAAGCCAGAATTGCCTCCTACACAGTCTTGTTCAAAGGCCTGGGTAGGCAACAACTATTTTAGGGATTGCTTAGTAACTGTGTTCTTTGTTATCTTTTTGGAGAAGAAAGAGTGGAGATGGTGAAGTCCGTAATAATATTCCTCTTCGATGGGAATGACCCTGGGCAGCCTCTGTAGAATATACAGCATATTTCCCCTGCTGCTGGCTCTGAGCACTCTGGTTAATCATAATTTCCAAGGACACCTGTAACCTTGTAAAGATGATGGGATTAAAATGAAAAGCTACTGCTAATGTTAGGGCTGATGATGTCCTTGGTGCATAGGAGTACAAACCAATTCCTTCCAGGTTGCTTACAAGAGTGCAAAGGAAATCCTGTCCCCTTGCTTCGAACTTGCTTTGTAAAATCCACTTGGAGAAACATTCAAAGAGCCCTCCCATGAATTCCAGTGATGTCAAAAAAACCAGTAAAGCAGTGCTTCTCCATGTGGACAAAAGGATGAGGTATTTTTGTGTGTGTTAAATCCATTAAGGACAGAGATTTTCCTTTCATTCTTTCCAAAATACAGATTTTGACCAGGAGTTTTATAAAAAATATTAAGTAATTTGGAATGGTTGCTACCGGTAGGTTAAGAGGACTTTAGAAGAGGGAAAAAGTTTTTTCTTTTTTCTTTTTCCTTCAAGAATTGAATAAGGGAAAATTTTTTCAAGTAAACATTCAAGGAAACAAGTGCTCTCCCCCCCCCGCCCCCGTATCCCCAGGTGGGATTGTTTTAGTGTATCTGAAATCAGTTCTGGCTAACTTATTCTAAAATAACAATAGCAAAAACCACAGTAATAAAAATGAAGGAATATGGAAGGCTATTGAGTAACTCGCAGTAAGGTAGGAAGAGCTGAAGAGACAGGCTTGAAAACACACCAGCTCTGGAGCCCCAGGAACCAATAAGAAAGGGTCTTCTGAATAATATCTGCAGGATGATGAAGCTCTGAACTGTTTTTTAGTATCTGCCTCACTCTTCTGAAGATTCAGATTCCCAGGAAGATAACAACAGGTTGGTCTAGCTTAGGCTGACGAAGGGGAAAACAACATACTGTTACTGACAGTTTTAAGAGTATTGCATAAAATGGGAGCAGGGTAGTTTTCCAGTGGGAAATTGGGGAACCCACCAGAACAAGAGAGGACAGATGGCCAAGCAGACTTAAAAAACATGCCCATGCCATGCCCCATCCTGGGACACACTGTTCTATAATGAGCGACCTGAGAACTCTGGGGAATGAGATGCATATGAGTGACTACCAACGAGAAGTTTGCTGTGACTTGTGATAAACCTTCTCCTCTCTGCTTGAGATAAGTGCCAGTAGATTTGAAGATGACCCTGATTCTCTGGGTGGGCATGCCATCTGGTTATACCATTCTGTAGTGCCTTTGAGGAATATGTATTGGAAGCCAATATCCTTTGAACCAGTGATTTGTCCTAAAGAAATAGACCAGAGTACAAAAATGTTTGTGCAACAAGTGCACTGGAGCATTGGTAATAATAACAAGGGGAGACAATTAGATGTGCAATAGGAAGTTGATTAAAAATATCAAGATATGGGGTGCCTCTTGGTTTAGGTTCAGGTCATGATCTCAGGGTCCTGGGATCAAGCCCTGTGTTGGTCTCCGCGCTTAGTGCAGAGTCCTCTTGAGATTCTCCCTCTCCTGCTCCTCCCCACTCACGTTCTCTCTTTCTCTTTCTCTGTCTCTTTCTTTCCCTCTCAAATAAATAAATAAATAAAATCTTTAAAAATATCAAGGTACTGTGTAGTCTTTAAAAAGAACAAGAGTGATCTAGGTATATTTGTGGGAATGGTGCCCTCAGTATATTGTTTTGTTCTTGTTGTTGTTTGGGGGGTTTTGTTGTTTTTAACTTGACAGAGAGAGAGAGCACAAGCAGGGGGAGTGGCAGGCAGAGGGAGAAGCACGCTCCCCACTTAGCAGGGAGCCTGATGTGGGGCTTAATCCCAGGACACTAGGATCGTGACCTGAGCTGAAGGCAGACACTTGACTGAGACACCCAGGCGCCCCACACAGTATATTGTTAATTGAGGTTTAAAAAAAATCAGCTTACAGAGCAATGTTCTTAGTAAAATATTTGACTTCTCTAGATATATTGATAGAAAAAAGTCTGGAAAGACCTTGATCATAAAATTGTAATGTGGATAGAGTATAGAGTATTGGGAAGGACTGACCTTCTCTATTTTTTTTTTTTTTAAAGATTTTTTATTTATTTGACAGAGAGAGACACAGTGAGAGAGGGGAACACAAGCAGGGGGAGTGGGAGAGGGAGAAGCAGGCTCCCGGCCGAGCAGGGAGCCCGATGTGGGGCTCGATCCCAGGACCCTGGAATCATGACCTGAGCCGAAGGCAGACACTTAACGACTGAGCCACCCAGGCGCCCCAAGACCTTCTCTATTTTAAATACTTCTCCATGCTTTGCATTGTCTGCAATGAGTATTTTTTTAATTTAATTTAATTTTATTATGTTATGTTAATCACCATACATTACATCATTAGTTCTTGATGCAGTGTTCCATGATTCATTGTTTGTGTATAACACCCAGGGCTCTGTGCAGAATGTGCCCTCTTTAATACCCATCACCAAGCTAACCCATCCCCCCACCCCCCTCCCCTCTAGAACCCTCAGGCAGTGAGTATGTATTTAAAAATCTTAGCTGTTAATAGATAGCAATTATCCACCACTTACTATGTTTAAGGATGTTTTATGCATATGAGCTTAGTTAATACTTGAAACACTGTGTGAGATAGGTACTTTTGATCTACTTTGTATATTAGGAAATTGGGTTAGTAAACTCAGGCAGCACAATGTAATCTGAATTCTGTCTAACTCTAGAGGCTCTTGTTAACCACAAGGATATTCTACCTCCCAAAGAAAAGAGCAATACAAAAAGTTCCATTTTGGAGAACACAGACCCTTGCAACAGTTTGCTTTGGGCATCCCATTATTCACAGAGCACGGAGAGTTGGCTGCCTGGAGTGTCAAATGATTTTTCAGTTGCTTACCCTTTCATTTAACAAGCCGGAGAGAAAAATGACGGGTTAAAACATATTGGCCATTTTTTCCAGGAGTGCTTTGGATAGAAACAATTTTTTAAAGTATTATTCCAAGAAATCTTCTGTTTCCAAGCTGGCAAAACCAGAGTAGGGTTCTGGATTGATCGTCTCTCACCTCCTCTGGCATTGAGACCCCATTTTCACATCGTATAATGCCTTAGCTCCCTTTCGCTTCTGACGTGGTTGGACTTTCCATGTCTGTAGATTGAAGTAGTTTTCATTTTCCCTCCGCACCCGCCGTGGGGCTCATCTGCCACCACAGGCGGCACTGTTGTCTGGGGTCTGATTGTTCTGCGACCCTCTGCTTATGCCACCGTCGGAACTGTTTTTGAGGGATGTCAGTCTGACAGGAATTTCAGAGTTTGACATTGCTCTTTTGCCTTGAATATTCAAATTCTAAATGTCTAGCCTTTTCCTTTCTAGAAAATGTTGTCATGGGCATTTGAATGCCACTATTTTATCCCAGAGCCAGGGTGTTCTGAAGGGGCAGGTAGGAAAAGGGAATTCCTTTGGGGAAACTTCTGAATTTGTTGCTTTGATTTTGAAGTTCCTCTCAGGGCATACGGTGCCTGTGGGGTATCAGACCGCACCGTAAATAATGCGCGTCAGCTGCTGGCATTTTCCAAACGGCCCAGTTGTCAAGGAGAGGATGGCAGCAGAGAAACAAACACACATTTCTTTGCAGAGCCTTTTTCCTGACTTCTTCTCTAGCCTGTGTTTGGGTCTCACGTGTAGAGGGCTTGAATGAATCATACACATCCCAATTTGTGGCATGGGATCATCAGCGGCCCCTCCCTTCATTGATTCATTGATTCATTCATTTCTTTATTTCTTCGCTTTGAATTCTTTTCCCAGCTCCTATTTCTTTCCTTCTGTATAGACCACTATTCTAATGTGTACACTAAATTGTATTTTTGAGCAACATTGTATCTTTTATTTACCATGATGGTATGTCTTGTTCTCTTTCTTTGCTCCCTCAGCATTGCATTGGGAGCCATCCCTATTCCTCTGTCTGTTTCTAGACTGTGGCTTCTGTCCACTGCACTCTCTGTGGTGTATGACCCTGTATCTGTTTTTACAGAGCTACACACTCTATCTCCTTGTGCCTCCAGCTCCTCATGAGCACTAACAGCACCACGGTGAACATCTTTGTACAACTCGCATATCTCCCTGTGTGAGAATTTCTTTGGGATATACCCATGAGGAGAATTGTTGGCTGTCAAAGGGTGTGAGTATACTTAGTCTGAGGGAGTAGTTCTCTGGAGTGGCCCCATCCACAGTCCCATCAGCCCTACACAAGGATTTCTTCATTCCTGCCAACTTTTCCGTTATTCAGCTTTCTAATTTTTTGTCAATCATATAAATATGATAGCTCATTATTGTTTTGATTTGCATCTGTCTGATAATTAGTATGTTTGAGCATCTCTTCGTATGCCTTTTGACTGGGTTTCCCCTTCTTTTGACCGCCTGTTCATGTCCTTTGCTCATAGTTCTCTTCCATTTGCCACTTTTTTCTTATTGAT